CGCGCCCGCCCCCCGGGGGCCCCCCCAGGCGGGGGCCCCTGCCACAGGCTACCGGCCTCTGAGTGCCTCCAGCCAGAGCTCCCTGCGCTCGCTCGTCTCCGCTTTCTGACTCCAGACCCCCAGGGTCCGTGCGACCCTCTGCCGGCGAGATGGACACCTGAGCCATTATGCCGCACCCTACCTCGGCCTCCCGCCCTGTAAGGGCACCTCGGCCTCTGGTCACCTCGGCCAGACCAGAAGTCGGACAGGGAGCATCTGGTGCTGTCATGGGGACTTAGTCTCAATCTCCGAGCCACACGACAGAGGCCAAAAAGGGCGAGAGGAACCCAGGCCCCCTGCCCCATGGACCTTGCGTGTGTGTGTGTGTGTGTGTGGGGGGGGGGGGTGTCTCTGGTTCCAGGTAGCCTTGAGCACCTGTTGTGGTGGTCCTAGACTGCCGCCCTCAGTGAGAGGTCAGAGGTCAACAAAAGGGATCTGAAGATCCGCGGGGCTTTGAATAAAGGGCCTATTGGTACTGGACTGGCAGATTCTTCCGGGGTGGGAGCTATGTTACTGGCGGCGAGGGAGCCACGTGTCGCCGCTGTCTCCGCAAACGAGGGGCGTCCCATCTGCGAGTTTGGTGGAGCCTCCTGGAGTAAACACAGGAAGAGACCAAGAATGCGGAAGGGCAAGTGGGCGGGCCCCCGGGGGAGGCGTGGGCTGGGGTGGGGGCTGGGTGTGAGCAGTCGTGCAAAAGGGGGGCCCTTCCCCGGTCCTGCTCAGGACGGGGCGGTAGGCGACCTTTGTTCCCTAGCCTCCTGCCTTCTGTCTTCCCCTGAGTTTCCTGCATTTCCCCGACCCGGCTGAGTGCTCGCTTTGTGGGTCACAACAGAGAGAGAGTTGAGCCTCGCCCAAGCTCGGAGAAGCCTGGCGAGGGCGCCGGGCGCGTCAGGCACTCAAAGGTCGGGGTATGTCGGCGCGCCCTGCTGTGCTCCAGAGAAGCCGGCAGGAGCGGAGGTTACCACCGGCGTGGGGCGCACCGACTCTCCTGCGGATCTGTCCGATGGGCCGAGTCGGCAGCACCCTGGACAGAGCCTGGGCGCGGAGTGGGCTGGGTGGCAGGGCTGTGCACTCTAGGGTGGGTGCTCAAAGTTGCGGCCACCTGGGGGTCACACGAAAAGCCCGGCGCTCGATGCTTGGGAACGCGAGGTGTCGGAGTCACTCCAGAGGAGTTCGAAGGGCCCAGAAAGTTGGGTCCCAAGCCACTAGTCACCACGCAATAAAGGCTGGGACCCGGTACTTTAGGCTAAGCATGAGAAAGCCTGGGCGGGCTCGGGGCGGAGCCTCCCCCCAGGCCGCGCCCATTGGCCCTCGCGGTGTGAACGTCAGGGGCTCAGCCCGCGAAATCCCGGCAGGATGGCGGGGGCGAGGAGCTGGGGCGGAGCCTGGCGGCTGCTCCAGCGTCCGGCCGCGCCCGTCCTCCCG